AAAACTGTGAAAATATTGTCTTTGTTAAAATTTATATGTTTATATGTATAAAAATGTGATGCTGGAAAATTTGGTGATCAAAAGTATTTTTCTTTGGTGATCATTTGTATCTAAAAAATTTGGTGATCAAAAGTACATTTACTCTTTTGAACCTGATATAGAAAAGTTATTAGAAAATGATTATGTTCAATATCTAAATAAAATGAATAAAATTATTAAACCATTAAAAAATCGATTATTAGGCAGGAATCTAGATAATCAAAATAATAATAATTTTCCGTTATATTTAAAATTTGTTGAATTATGTAAATTACGGCAAAAATTAAAGAAAATTTAAGATTACACTCGATGTGTTCGACTTAGAAAATGAATTAAATTCATCATCGGAGTCATCAACGAAACATAGTGTGGGTGTGACGATTATTGTTCACAACGTCTACTTCCAATGTACAGTTGATCTCTGTAGATAGGTATTTTGCTTTGGTCCGCTCCGTTCTTTCCTTTTTGATATTTTTGATGTTCCTTTTCTTTTTCGTTTTGTTCTTATCTTTTGGCATATAGTAGATATATTAGTTTTTAGTGTTAGTAGGTTGTAATTTTTGGGTCGAGTGGCCGAAATAAAAGTATAATATATATACACTATGTATTATAAAGCACACGTACGCTAACCTCTCAAGGATTTATAAGTAGAGAAAATATAAGTCTCTCACACTTGGCGATCTCGTCTTGCAGAACCTTCCGTTCTCCTGCAAAACTCTTCTTTTTTTTTCTTTCTATCTTTCTTCATATTGTCTGATGGAAGAGAATAATAATAATTTGAAAATAAATCGAATCGCTTATTTAAAATTTCGTATTGGTTTATGTTACTCTAAAACTAATGATATAGATCGAGCAATTAAACGTTGGAGCAATGCATTAGAATTGTATACAACACATCTGTTAATTGAAGATGTATCAGAGTCGATTATAGGCTTATAGGCTTAAATAAAGAAATTATCAATTTATATCTGAAGAAAGACGAATATGATTTTGCTATTTTACATGTGAGAAAAATCGTAAAACAAATAGAAACTGTTTTTCCAAATAGTCTAAAAATCGCTTCACATCTCTATTCTTAGCTCGGATATTTATACTGTGAACAGAAATAAGAACATCGTTCACGCATTTCTTACCTTAAACAAGCATTGATAAGAGAAGAAAACGGAAAAAATGATAAATTACGAATTTTCAATTTATTTAATTAAGTTGGATGGTATTATTTCAAATTAAAAGATCATGATTTAGCTATTTATTTTTATACACAAGCTTTAAATATTGATAAAAATGATTGTGTAGCAAAAAGAGATAAACGAGAAATTCAGATGATACATGTCAAAATGGGAGACTCCTATGTTAATTAAAGCCAGTTATATTCTAGCTATAGAGCATTATAGCAATGTTTTCATGGTGCAACATACAACTATGATTCAAAGATCAAAAAATGTTCGTCGATTGCAAGGACCACTTGTTAGAGGAAATCGAGATCGATCAAGGAAATTGCTTAAGATCACAAGCCGATATCGTCGATCGGCTCAATGGAATGCGACTTGTCAATAAACATTAAACTTGGCTACCGAATTTAGAAGTGATAAAAAGAATTTTTTCAACAATTAAGCTTACAAGATCAGATTTAGACTATAGGTCGATACTGACAAGTGCAACATGTCAATAAATTATGAAGTTTCCAAACTATACTACGCTCAATTAAAACTGTATTATTGTATTTAACTATTGTTTACATTATCGTATTATGACGAGGCTCTAAATTATGTGACGCGTTTCTTGATATTATCCGGAGCTGTGCAGCTCCACTATTTTGTGGACTATGCCTCAGTATGCTGTTCTATATTGATCATTTATTCCTGGTCTGAGAGCAAAGGTCATAAGAAAAAGTTAACGTTTGAGTCTAAAGCTATGGACACATTAGAAGACCTTGTATTCTGTCCTATCATTCACAAATTCTAGGGGGAGACGGGGGTCCTCTAATGTGTCCATGGCTTCATCCAGAAAGTTTTCGGGATTTTTACCTACACTTTATCATGACTGACATCGAGACGAGTGAGTCGAGATGTTTGTTGCAACCTTCATACTTCAATTTCATTTGTGCGCCCCACGAGTTACCATTGGAAAGTATGCATGTCTTATACCAGTTTGGTGAAGATTCGTTCAAGGACTATTGAGTTCTAATCGTTCTAACGCGATTTACCTTGTTTTTCTGTGCATTTGAACATGAGAACGTGTTATTGTTTTTCCAGTCATTTAGTCAGTTGACACAGTGGGCATCCAAGCGGAAATTTGGACGAGAACTGAAATCTCTTGTTTCCGAAACAAAATAGTGCAAAATGTAGCTCTTGAAATTCTCTATCGAATGGTGTATAAATGTCTATTTTGATATTCACTTCTTCAAGAAGAAAACCTGGCAACAATAGCTGCATAACAGATATCAAAGAATGGGGCACATGCTCATAAAATCTTGATTAATACTTTGGTCACATATGCTAGACAATTTCAAAGCAATTATTCAGAATCAGCAGCTCATCGGCTATCTATCAATATGAAAATATGTGTACTTCGCAATAGAATTCTATAAATAACGTTGTATGGAATTTATGAAATGATGGCGCTTGAATCTAGCTATGCAACGATGGTCAAAGAAGGTCGTTCAGGTATACTACCACAACTTTTCGAGCTGGTTCGTGATGGTAAGTCGAGCGAACTCAATGCATGTTTAAGCAGCAGACCGTATGCATGCAATCTACTTACCTCGATCTGGATGCGTGCATCGAAGAAAGAGTATCTCAGTTTATTGATGATAGTGGCTCTACATGGACACGAAATGGTGGTGCGTGAGATACTGTCACATTCCCCTAATATAGTAACAATGGTTGAACTCGAAGGACGGATGCACAGCATCAATGGCGATCTAGTGAACAATGTAACCGCATTACGGTGCGCTCTCGGTCGAGCGCATTTTCCTGTAGCAAGTACTCGGATCGATGTAGGTAGAGCCAATATCAACCATGGTCCAGTTCATCCATTATTACTGGATGCTGTAATTAGAGGAAGACTTGACATTGTTGATTTGCTCATTGAAAATGGCTATGCTGATGTCAATCAAACAAAAACGAATGATGAAAATAGACGTAATAGTCTTATTGTATCGGTCATGTATGGTCATACATCGATCGTCGAGTATCTTATTAAAAGAAATGCTGAATTGGAATCGAAAACACATGTTGATGGAAACACAGCATTGCGGCAATAGAAGGAAATTTGGAATTGGTACGAATATTGTGCATGGCGGGTGCTTCTTCCACCGTGAGAAATCATGCGAGCAAAGCGCCTATAAAATTAGTGGCTGAAAATAATAAATTAGATATGATTGGATTTTTACTTGAACATGCCCATAATGATGCCGTTTTTGCTGATCTTGAACTTGGTGTTGCTGTGCATATACTCACACATAAGGGTACTCCGAATTACAAATCTGAATGGGCACTAGAATACGATATTTGCTGCTTAAGCGAATACAGTTCAGTGTACCAAAACGTATTGCTGAACCGACTTCTTTTTATGGTGTCCAACAAGAATGTTAAACAATGGATGAACTCGATCACATTCAAGAAAACGTTGATCGCTTGTATGTCGAGGCATTACTTATACAGGATCGTGTTCTTTTAGCTTAACAGGATAAAAATCGTTAACTTGGTTGTTCGATCGAGCGATGATACTTGTTGAAAAAGGTGAATTCGATTGTTGTCTCGATCTAGTCATGCACATTTTTCGCCTATCTCAACGAGACGAATTTCAGCCTTCTCTCAAACAATATTTCTGGATCTTCTACAACATGTTCAAGTCAAAAGTACCTGTTCCTGTTGATCGATTCTGGGAGACATGCGATCGGATATTCAAGTCGTTCCAGCCCAATTCCAATGATTCTCATATGAGAGGTATACCATACTTGCTTGAATTGGGGGCAAAGGTAAGAAAATCGTCGCCAAGAGAAGCATACTTGTTAGAAGATAAAGTTCTGTTCGATATTCGTAAAAACTTCAGAAATTCACAATATCGACAAAATCTAGAAAAGAAAAGTAGGAGAAATAGTAGGATCTGCTGAATTTGAGAAAGCTGGATACAAGTTGATTTTACAAATATGACGTTCTCAAGAAATTCAGAAAGGAAAATCAGACAATTACTAACATATTTTTAATATGAATCCATGTGTTCAATGAATAGGATTTTATAAACATATAATTCTGCAACCCTTATTGAGATTCTTTGAGACATTTTGCTTGATTTAGCTCTTGAATGAAAGTACGACTTTGCAAGCTAAATATTTCCAGAAATATTACCAAACAATTAAGTCTCAAAAATTCTGAACGCTCACTGTCAAAAATTTTAAAAAACAGTGTGGTTAGACATCTGAAGTTCAGAACACAATTGGTCTTGGAAGAGATTTCGATCATTTCTAAACATTCTGTGAGAGTTTCTTTACTCTCGTGCATGCTGTTGTGAATAAGTTTTTGTAGTCTGCTGAAATTTTCTTTAAAAATAGCTGTTAACGACCTCATTGCGGTTGTTTCGGACATAGAAATGCCTTAGTTTTACGTTGATATACTCTAGAATTTACTTCATTGAAAAACTCGAGAATATCAATCACGCAGTACTGTTCTTTAGCTTGACATTTAAAGTAAAGCTATGTTGCTGCCAATATCAAATAGAACTATAGAAGTGGCATGTCCATGGCTGGTAATGGTCTGTTCTTTAGACGTCTGTAGGAGGGATTTCTGCACCTATACACTGCAACACTGACGTATTGGTCATCTTTCCATATCCGGTGCGAGCGTCAGTTTGTGTAAATTCATGACTACGTACCATGTAAGGAAGTTGTACTGTTAATTGTTGTATCAGTGCAGAGATCATTGAATTCGAACGTATCTTTTCTTTTTCAATAAGTTCTCGTTTCACAGAACGTATAGATATCAATACTTTTTCTGACCATTCAGATTGATCCCCCTGGTATCTCATTGATTTTACATGACCTCAATTTAACTTACAGTTGTGTTGCCAATATTTACAGTCATGGCTCATGGATTCAAGGTACATGTATACCTAAATCGGATCGAGATTTGATAATCGTTACGTATGCTCATCAAGATCCTTTATACTTTTGTGAGGATTTCGATTATTTTCATCAGTTTGAATTCATAAATTATTCAATAAATATGATGTTTGTGTCTATTCAGTTGAAAATTTCAAAAAGTTATTGGAAAAAAATTTCTTACTCTGTGTTCAATGCTTGTTTTTACCTGATCAATTCAAACTAAAAGAAGAAATCGATTTTCGTACGACTTACTTAAACAAATTTTATGATCCAAAACGGATCAAGCAAGCGGCTTTTTATGAAATATTCTCATCTGTGAATTTGCTTGACCCACCTAGGAGATCAAGTACTTGGGCTTTTTGTATAACGGAAGATGAAAAAATTCAATCACGCCAAGATTTTATATTTAAAAATTTATTTCATGGTATTCGATTCTTAGATCTGGCTGAGCAATTGATTCAAACACGATCCATATATGATTTGACACGTGTGTCACATGTACTAGATGCAATGAAAGATATACGTGATGATCCAATAGACAAATCAGCTTTGGAACAGTAAGCAAGAATTCTTGAATATTTGTCTTCACAAGAAATCATTCGCTTGTTTTTAGTGTACTTGACTTTGTGCGTAGCAAAAGTGCTGAGATTAAATCCAGATTAGATATACTTGCACCAACAAATATTATCTTGGATACACTCAAAGTACATATTACATTTAACTGTCAACCAAATTTTGGACAAACTGTGAACAAGCTCAAAAGCAAATGTCAAAATACGAAATATCAAATTGCATTTCTTCGAACAAGTAATAATCAGAAGAACGATGAGCTTCAACAAGTAATCGTAATACGATCTTATCATGGTGAATATCCATCAATTATTGGACCAATTCAAAAAGAAGTAAATGAAGATTTCACAGGCTTGGACATAGGAGGTATTACAATAAAATCATCAGCATCGAATGAAGGTGTGCCAAAGACTGATATTGAAAAAGAATTATTTTGGAATGAAACAATACATTGTTTTGATTTCCATTATCGTGTATTATAAAAACAAACGCGTCGTGAATATTTACTCAGCTAGATGAAGACATGTAGAAAATGGCATAAATTTAATCCATATTTATCACGTTATGTGATCAAATGAATGGATCATGAGAGATTTCATTATATGTTGAAAATGTGTTTATTTAATGTTGGTCAGAAAAAAGCATTTGAAATGAATGCTGAACTTATCAACGATTTAAAAAGAACTTCTAGTGTACTACTGGAAATGGAACATGAATTTATTGTTTATGACACAAATATTGACTCGTCAAAAATTAAAGCTAGCTAATTTTAATATATTTATTAACTTTGAGAAAAGGTTTTCATTGATTCTTATTTATTTTTATAAAAAAAGTTTTTATTATACTGATGAATGTAAAATAGTCACTTCCTCGGTGATGAACTAATATTTTCATCACCAGCACTGTTAAGAAAAAAGATCGCTCAACAAACGTAAACAGTTCTCGAAATCGATCATATGCTTTCGAAAGGTTCATAAAAAAAGATTAAACTTTTTTTCGTTTATTAGCTGAAACGTTCTTGAATATGAGCGTTTTTCACAGAAAAAAAGATTTTTTACACGGACCACGGCATTTATTGTTCGATTCGAGAAGTTCTTTTTCTCTGTAAGGTATCTGACTGTACTACCATGTGCGCAACACTTGACGAATTTCAACCTAGTAAAATCTTTGAGTACTCGTTTTCATCTCTTGCGCCGATGTCGTTCAATACTGAAATAAGCATATCGATGCAAAGCAAAAGTCAAGGAAACACGTTTTTACTATAACTTCTGTTCTATGATAAGAATGGGTCAAAATGAACACGACATCAACAATCAAGCGTCCACAATACTCTTCGTTGAGTCCTCCATGAAAGGCTGTCTTTTGTTAGCAAGAACAAATCGAACTGTTCCTGTCACCTCGTTGAAATGAGCCGACTGAAAGCGATACTAATCATGTAAAAAGTGCATCTTGTTGAGTATCAGTCTCTTGGTCTTTTTATTTCTTCGTGAAAAAACAATTCGCAGAACGACTTCTTTTTATTACATAACGACCACTTTTTATCACACCAGATTGTCTGATGTTCTCTGTTTCTCACTCGAGTTGAGATGACAAGTCTTTCGAGAAAATAAACAGCTGGGATTCTGTGTGTGATGCACCGAACACAACAGTGAGATGAACATGACTCTATCTTCTTTCATCGACCATCCGTCGTGGATGTAAAATGATCTACTAAGAGTGATTGATTCAGTAACTGTAGGTAAGAGAAGTGTTTTTATCGGAGAAATGAAAACACCTGTGGACTAAACAATCAATCGAATTTCACTCTCCTCTTTTCACATCTAGATCACAGAACCAAGACCTTCTTCATTACACGTGCCAGCGAGAAAAGTAAGATAAAAGTAAAAGAGGGAGACAACTGATTCAGATCAACTGAAAATCAGGTAGAAATCATTCAACATCTACAGAATCATGATTTGCTACTTACCTCTTGGATAGAAGCATGTTCTACAGAACGATGATGAAGCAAAGTACGAAACCCTCTTTTCGAGGGTTTAAGAAAATAAAGAACGAGCTAGTATACTCTTGAAAAAAGGTTTTTGAATTGGAGAGCGGAGGTATGCGAAGGAGTAGATGAAGAGGTTGTTGATGTTTTCTAAAACTATTTGAGGATTCGTAAGTGGTTGCACGCCCTAAAACCGTTTTTCCGTTCTTCAAGCTATCTTTTTTTTGCAATGAAGGGAGTGGTGGTAGAATCGGCAGAAAGATTCTGACGAGGAGAATACTTCTGTGATCTCTATCGTCTTTACACCCACACCCTGTATTTATTTGCAATAGGGTAAAATCTAAGAGAGGTGATTATTTCGGCGCATAATGAAGAAATGTCGCTTCGTATCGCCAACATTACAGTAAAATTCGCCAACTTTAATAAAGCCATAATGCATGTACAATTTCTGTGACTTCAAGTTGCATGCTAACGTTGTAATCCAAACAGGTCGCGCTGGAAACTGTTCTTCCATCCATGATAACGCCACATTCATAAGTTGTTGCCCAATCCCTTGAGATTGTCGATCGCGTCGAACATACAAATATTCGATGTGACCATCTTTACCTATGCAAAATTCTGGATGAGGCACTTCGCTCTGACCGAGAATGAGGAAAGCAACCATCTCATCGTTGACCTTGTCTTCTATCACCCACGTTGCTCCTAGCGGATCAGCAATTTTTGTCGCGTACCATTCTGGACTTTTGTTTGTACGAAAGTAGTGCTCGACATCGTGTTCAGGAATAGGCAGAGCCAAATCTTCGAGGTAAGTTTCACGCCATGTCTGCTGACTAAGTTGGGAGAGGGCAATACTATCAATATCAATGGCACGACGAAGAGCGAGTCGACTAGTAGTCATGTTCTGGAAAGAAGTACACTGTAACAAAAACCGTAGAAGGATAAATCGCCCAATAGGGTTTCAGTATCGTCATAAACCCTCACAAACCTTTAA